ATTTTTGGAAATATTTTTTATAGGAAACTAAACAATGGTTTAATACTTGGAAGCTAAGTGCTTTGTAACCACGGGATATAGTGCTACCCTCTCATCTGTAAGAGATGTATAACTTCCATTGGCTGCCAGTTATTTTTATAAAACTGTTTTGGGGAATGTTATTTAAAATCTGCTCATTTCCTTTTTTTTTTTTTTTTAATTCTGACGCAAATGTCAACTACTGTTTTTCTTCATCTAGGCTGAACTGGAAGCTTTTGAAAACAGATTAAAAGGGCGAAGAAAGAATAAGAGAAGAAAGGATGAAGTAGAAGTTGAACAATCATCATGGCAAAAATACAAGAACCTCATTATGCTGCCAATGTTCGGAGTTGCCGTTGTGATGGTTGCGTGGCTCATGGTCTACAATGACTGAAACAACTCAATATTTAATATACTTTAGTCGGGCTTTAGGTAGCTATTATTCCTAGAATGTTAGTCTGTGTGTAACAGAACTTAATATGCATAGATTATGTATGTATACTGTTTGCCAAGAAAAGTGCAGAGGAGGGAAGAAATGTCACCTTTTGTGTTGTTACATTCACAGCACAAAACTGAATTCAGACACTGAAAGTAGTAGTAGATTTTAGTCTACACCGAAGTGCTGATGTAATTCATCTGACTGAGATCCGTTAACATCTCTTCTATTAACATATTGTGTTACTTTTCCTTGTCTCCATTTCATAATATTAAAAATAGCTTAGTATAAAATGCTTTACTGAATATTTGTTTCCTGTAAAATCAATTTAGTGGTTTATTGAAGATTAGTATTCTTTTGCTAGTCTTTATGTTGTATCACACAATAATTTCTGTGCTTCGTCTCAGTTTTAATTATAACAACTGATGGGGAACTTCAGATCACCTAAGCTTTGAATATTTTGGGGCCTCATGTCAGAACTTTGTTCAGAGAAGGGAAATGTGAACTTTCAAGTCAACTGTATCACAAACAATAAAATGGGCCCCCTTACAGACTGGGGGGTTTGTTTTTTGGTCGTTCGTGGCCCCCCCTGGCCTTGTTTCCTCAAAATCAAACCAACTGAAAATTCATTTAGTGGACAGATGCATATGCTGAACATGGATGTGAAGTAGTTTCAGGGTACAGGGATGTGTTCTCATCACTGCCCCCATCGCCAACAGCAGAAAAGCAATTTGAAATTGAACTTAGAGCATCACTTGACTATTTGTATAGATAAATGTCACATTTGAATATTTGCATAGTTGTGCAAAAACGTAATTGAATAGCATAACAATACAGTTATATGTCGTTCTGAAGCCATCTGGATGGTGCTTGCTAATCATGTATAAACTATCTAACTAATCTTTTAAATGTTTAAATATTTTCTTACTGACAGTTTAGAATACCTTTTGGGATATCGGTGTTGGTTGATGGAACTGAAAGGTTTACACAGCTTCAAGATTATTAGAGAAGCTACATTGTCTAGTTTAGGGACTGCAAGTTAAATTTGGGGGCAGGGGAAATCAGAAAACTGAATTTTTAAACCTGTGCTGGAAATTTTATGCTGATACTTGAGTGTTGTAGGTAACTGAAAAGTGCTTACAAGATCCTACAAAGGTAGGAGGTACAAAGCCAAAGGGCATTAGGTTGCCCTTGTAATTCAGGCACATAATTTCATCACAAGTCCTGCAAAAGCAGTGGGACCGTTTGTGTGAATTAGTAGAGAAGACTGCAGTTTGTTTGAAAGCTCTTTCGGTTGATTTTGGCCCACTTGCAAAGGGACCCAGTATTAATTTGAGCTGATACCCAATTGTAATTATGGTTCAGCAGCAGAAAAAACATAGAAAAGCTGCAAAAGGCAGTAGCTTTTATATTGCATAGATTGACAAAATGGAGAGAAAATCACTTTCTTTTCAATTTTTCACCTAAGTTTGGTGAAAGAGAAGAGAGGTAAGGAAAACCTGGCAATATTTAGCATGGATTAGTGCTATTTGATAGTATTTAATGGGTTTTTTAAAATTGATTTTTCGAAATGCATACTACTGTTGTGTCAGGCTGTTAGTATGTAAAGTTGTAGATTAATTGAAATGACACTAGGCAATCATAGTTGCATCTCTGTTGAATTCTCTTATTTTCTAGTATAAGGAATAAACCATTTTCCATATTGTTACTTTAACTCTTTCTATAATATTAATGCCTGGAAGATAATTCCATATATAAATGTTGTTTCTTTAACCAAGTGAGGTGATGCTATTGTGTGACTGCTTATGCCAGTAACTCTTCTGTCACTGAGAGAAAAAGAGAGATTTTTGTTCAGCTGAGGTAAAACATGAGGTATTGTCCAAAAATACAAAAAGATACCTTTATAGCTGAAATACGCAGATCAACATGAATGAGACCATTGTGGAAACAGCTTTTATCTTACATGACTATAACTCATTCTCCTATTTACTGCTAGCTTTTTCTTTAATACAAGTACAACATAAGGTTTCTCCTTGCCTCGACAGCAAAGAGAAGAAATACCTCTCTACAGAGCTATAAAAGCGAACTGCACTTGAGCTATATGTTTGATGTAGTTCTTGGTGTTCTTTTCTGCATATTTTGTAGTATCTGTGTGGAATATTGGAGAGAAAAGACTTGCTTCTCGTTGATCATCTTTATTATAGTAAGAAAGCACACCAATCTTTAAAAAGTCATTCCATTCATACAAATGTGTGTATGAGTAGGCATATTCCCTTTCTTAAAGGATTTGTATCTCTCCTGAACCTCGCATACGCGAGACAGACCTATTTTTGAAATTTTATTCAAAATAGTTCTGTATATCTTATCCAACCATCTGAGTCATTTGCACTCTGTTGGTCTGCCTGCTGAACCAGATACTTGTTTCTTGGCATTAAAAAAGTGTGGGAGTTCGAGCAATCTGCAGTTTAATAAATCACTGGTTTCTATTTGTTTTTTTAAATTATTTTTACAGTTAATTTTTTGCCTTTTTTGGTTGGAGCTGCGTGTTGCAAGCATGACAACCGTTGAAGTAAAAGGTACAGATAAAATCTCCTGTTACTCAGTATAAATGAAAGATGGTAGTTCTAGAAAAGAAATACTGAACTGAAGGTGGAGGGGTGGGGTGTGTGTGTGTTGCAATTTAAATGTAATGTACTGTTATATAATGTAATGAGCAAATATTTTGAATGTTAACAGTTTACCAAAAAATGCATATTGATAAGTATACTTTAAAACAAATTATATGATCTGACCTGCTGTTGAAGGGAAATTATAGAGAGAAGCCTGATGATGAGGACACTTGACATGCAGAATATTTAGCTATGTGTAAAATGAAAAAACTTGGGGAGGCTTTTCCTGATTCTGAATGCATTCTGGTGAGCGTTCATCTTTCTGCTGAACCAAGGTGCTTACAAGTTGTCAATATATTTTGGATTGGAAACTCCTTGGACAAGTTTGTTCCCTGTAACAATAACGAAGCCATTGTGTGTGTTAATTTAATGTAAAAACCAAGTCAGACAATAAACGGAGCAAAAACAACTTGAAAATTTGTTTGTTCTCAAGGACTAGTGTAGTAAAGCAGCAAACCTCTCCTGGGTAATGACGACTGACATACTGCCGCGGAAGTTTTAGGCATGCTTTTTGTTCCCTTCTCTGGCAGTAGGAGCTCTTACTGCTCAGATTAATGCTGGAATTATGTAATTGCGTTCCTTCATGTTAGTGCTCTGACAAAATTGCGAGAATGGGTTGGGGAAGTAGATTAAGATGAAACAAATGGGAATGGACTTAGTAGATGATTTTTTTGGCCTCATGGGGAAATATAGCTGATTTATTAGGCATTTGTCCTGACCTTTACTAGAGGAGGAAATGTTACTATGCAGATAGCACCAAAACTTGCTCATAAAAGCTTCTATGCTTGATTGTGGCTTCAAAGCGCTGAACTCTTGAGTTTATCATCTCAGTAGTTCTGGCTCCAAAGCGTATCTGCTATATGCCAGCTTTTCTGAGAGTGATGAGCCTGTGCGTTGTGGGGTTAGAGCACAGAGATGCTTGGTCTGAAGGAGGTTCCTGTGCCTGGCAGTGGAAGCTTCTGTGTGGTAGCCGCTCTCTGGTGCGTGCTTTAGGGTGGAGTATTCATGTGTGGACAGCCCGTGGGCGACCTTGTCCTCAGTTTCATTTAGTGCAGATATCCCTCTTCTGCTTTGATTTCATCCCACTACCAGTTGTTGTCTATGGGAATTTAAGTCGCTCCCTTTTCTTGCTTCATGAATGTAAATTTCTATTTGTGTCTGCCCTTATAATTCAATTAATCAATCGCTCTAAAGAATTATAAAATGAAGATACTGTAGTGGTCTGTATTTACTCGGAAGGGAAATACAAGGTAAAAATTAGAGAAAAATCAAATGAAGTCAAATTAGTTATAAACTAATGAGACATGCTTGCTTCCTTCCACTAATGGTTGCATGCTAATGAATTATTTGGACTCTGCATTAAAATGTTTATATGCCATGCTACCAGAAAACAAGTTTCTGATATGGGTAGTGTATCAATATGAGCTCTGTGATATATTAAAGTCAGTAGGCTAAATGGCAGCTGTCTAGAAATAAGCCATACTCTGAGGGAACTGTGGCTTAATTCAATCAAGCATTACTTAATCTAAATTTTTCCTCATGCAGTGATTTCCATAAAATTGCCAACACAAACAGAACTTGGCTTAGACTTTCTCTGTCTGCTGTACACTGTGGCTGAATCTTGTAGTTGTGAAACTGCAATGTGAGTGGCTCCCCCACTTGAGGAAATTAGTATGAGATCAGGAGTCAAGACTGGTTTGGGGTTTGGAATTCACAGTTCTGCTGCTGAAGAGAAGACATCCTCCATCCAAGCCAAGCTGGCTTTGCAGTCTGAGCCGTCTGCTGCACCTCTTAGATTTCAGTTTTCAGTTGTGTTTATTGTAATTTTGTACAGGGCTAACTTCTATCTGTAAAATATTGTCATATGTAATGAATTACGGTTTGATTCCTCTTTTTATCAGCGTTACAGCATATTTGTTGTTTTACATTAAGCAATTTGAAGATTTTGCATAAATGCTCTTGCTTCTGTCTCTGTGCTTTTCCTATTATGTGTGCAATTGTTTTAAAAACAAAACCAAAACCACTGCTTTTTTCCTCCAGAGGGGACTTCACTTGGTTGGGTAAAAAAATGCAGGACTGAGTTACCAGGAGCAGGAGTTACTTACGTACAATGGCACTCCAGAAGCAGAGAGTGCCCAGCCTCTGCCCCGTAAAGTCTGCACACAAACAGAAAGTGACAGGGCCTAAATCTGAAGGTATGGAAATAAAGATAACTGGAAAAGAAGCTGGAAAAAAGCTAGGAAGAAGTGTTTCTCTTAGACATATATAAACAAACTCTATATAGAAGGGCTATCATCCTCACTGATAGCCAAGAGCGGTGACCAGGGATGGAAGCCATATTCATGTCGAGGTGGTTGTTCACATTTTTGGGGTGTTTTCTGACTCACATTTTGAATGATAGCATTTCAGAAGCACTAAAACATGCACAGTAAAAACTGGAAGCCTTTCTGTTTTACAAATGTCATCTCAGAACCCAGTTGTGGTGCCAGTGACAGCTCTCCATGGCTCCTGGAAGGGTCCTGAACCGCTGTTGTCTTTATCAGTCTTCGATGTGTTATGTACACAGACCCGGGCTACAGTCAGCCTCGACATCTTTGGATGCAGAAAAGAGGGGACAAACGCATCAAAATGCAAGTCTTAAAAGCCGATGTCTCATGGGGGTGGGGCATTTGCGCTGTCATTTGCAGCTTCAGGCGGCACTTGTCTCTCGGCATGAGACCTTTGCTTCAAAAGGTTTGCAACAAACAACGCAACCCTCCAGCTCTTAGGACGTTGGGGTCGGTCACGCCCGGGACCAGCGGAGGGTCAGATGCAGCGTCCCCGGCCGCCGCTGTCCTCCCGCGCAGCCCTTCCTCGCACGGGAGGGACGGGCCGCGACAGGCTTGCGTGGCTCCCGGAGCCTCACTGCGGGGAAGGAGCTGGAGAAACCTGTCGCCGGCTCCGGGAGAGCTTCCTCCCGCCGGAGCCCCTTCCCCTCCGCTTCTGCTGTGCCGGCGGCAGCGCCCGGCGCCGCTTTCAGCCCTCTTTTTGGAGATAAGGAGGATCGGTTGGGGAGAGGCAAGCCACTGTGCTACGGAGGAAAGCGTTGCAGTCCCTGTAGGCGCGAAACTCCCTATCCCTGGGGCGAAACGAAAGCCCTTGCATGACCGTAACGTAAAAAAAAGAGCCGCCAGAAGGCAGGCGGATCCTCCGGCGCCCGGACGAGTCCTGCGCCCGGCAACCGCGGAAGGATGGACCCGGGAGCGCGGCACGGGCTCGCAATCCCCCCCCC